ATTTATGTCCAATACCCTGGGAAAAAATCAAAGATTTTCACAATTGAAAAGTAAGGACAACTTCATGCAGAGGGCAAAAGTCACCACCACAGAGATGTCATCAGAGGCCTGATACACGAATGGGTTGTAAAGGGTCCGAAAAAGTCTGCAGCTCCAGAGAAACATTTGGAATCTCTGGTCTGCGTCTCACCACAGTCCCTCAGATGTGTCTCGTTGCAAGTAACAGAGATCAACTGGCTAGCTTAAGAAAAAGGAAAAATAAGGAATTAAGGGGAAGAAAATTGGAGAATCACAAAAATATACATAGTTACAAATAAAAATATGGGAGAAGAAGGTATGAAGGCAGCTTCGGGATCTCCACATTTGAGCCCATGGACTTTTTCTCCAAGAAGCTCTTGAATATGCCTGAGCGCCACAGACCCTCCGTCTTTACATCTCTGTCCTTTAAACTCCAAGTTCCTGGGACTCGGTATCCCAGGTCCCACTTTGGTCGGCTGTTTAGTCCTGTAGCAATTATGGCAGGATCTTAGAATTCAGGCTTAGTACTTGCGATCCCACCTAAATAGATGTAATCTTGCATTAGTTTGGGCCCTTTAAAAAGCAGAGGTCAATGCCCAGCCATATGGCTCAGTGGTTGAGCATCGACCCACACTCCAGAGGTTGCCGGTTCAATTCCTGATCGGGGCACATGCCAAAGTTCTGGGCCCGATCCCCAGTAGGGGGCATGCCGGAGGCGGCCAATCAATGTTCTCTCTCATCGATGTTTCTATCTCCCTCTCATTTCCTCTCTCTCTCTAACATCAATAAAGAAAAAAAAAAAAAGAAGCAGAGGTCAAGACAGCATTAGACACCCACATTCACTAGGGGAAACAGCTGCAAAGGATAAAGGGATGCGCAGAGGACACCATAATGCAGGGGTAATCCCTGTGAGGGAGAGAAGGAAGGAAGCAAGGTTGGATAGGCATACTCTAAAACTGTAGCATTAAGAAAGTTTTGGTTAAGCCAATGGAAGTTCTTGAATCAAAGTCAAGAACCGGAAAATTCTTGCAACTTTGCAAGAAGTAGCTGCTTTAGTATCTCCACCACACTCAGTAGCTGGTGAAAGCAGTTCATGGGAAGGATGGCCTTGGGTGTGAGTGTTGTGGACTTGGGGTTCGGCAGCTGGGGCCACCCATCATTTCCATTCCTCACAGCAGAAGACCTGAGATGTGCATTTTCATGCTTGTCACACAGCTGTTCCTCATAAGAGAGCATCACAGAGAACTGGGGGTCACCCCAAGAGATGTCCTCTGAATCACCTTTGGAAACAAACGCTTGAGAATTGAGTAATGTCTCTGTTTCAGGCTCTATTAGTACCAAGCCATGAGTCTGATCATATCCACTAAGTCCTGCATTCTTACAATATCCATTCATCTGCATTATCTTATTTTGTCACATTCTATATTAAGATCCTACACGGGTGAAATAGAGTTGAATCAAAAGTCCTCTACAGTGTCCTAGGAAACTCATCTCTTGGGTAAGAATACCTTCAAAGAACAGCCCTAGGTTGTTTGACTTATATAATTGAACCCACTCCCTGGATTTCTCTACTTTCTTGTTTACCAGAAACTACATCACTCGAGTTACGCTTTGGTTGCTACTTCAACCGGCAGGGCATGATTTTAGTGGCAGAAACACCATCACGCACAGGGAGGAAAACAGGTGTTGGGAATAGGAAGGATCAGGAAAGGGGCACGTGGAGGAACAGCCACATTTGGGCAATATTCTGGGGGGATCCCCCTCCCCTGCCACAGGTACTTTGTTCTGCCTTTCCCACTAACAAAAGCCTCAGGGTTCATTTAAATTAAGGTAGCAACTGTTTTCTCCCTCACTGTTTACTAAAAGAGCCAGCAAGCTGTGTTTCTGCTGACTCTGTAGAGACACGGGCCCTAAGGGTACGGTGGAGGGGCTGGCTGAAACCACTCTGTAGGTGGACCTCTGGCACCACACACACGCAGGGCCTCTGGGTCCACACCCTGTCTGGTCTGCTCTGAAATGTTTTCCTTTGCAACTTCCAGTTTCTCTTTTATGAACACGTTATAGTGCAAAGACTTAATAAGTGCTACTTAATTGACTGCTTCTCCCTTAAGGCCTTCATTTTCAGATGTCTGTGAAATCTTGTATAAGAGCAACATGGGCGCAAATAGAATTTTTTACTTGACTATATTAGCCATGATAAATGACACAAGCTTCTGCAATAAATAAGCCCCAAATCTCAGCGATTTAACATCCGATGTGGATGTTTCTAACTGGGTGTCTCTGCGCCAGCTCTTCCCAAGCAGCGAGTCCGTGACTCAGGCGACTTCCATGGGTGGCTCCACCGTATTGCAGTTTCCCGGCCACCCTGGTGTCATCCAACAGCAGATAGGAGGATGATAATAAGAATGGAAGACTACAGATGGGAGAGTTTTCTCATCCGAGCTTTTCGAAAAGTAGCTTACATCATTTCTGCGAATATTCCATTCACCATAACTCATCATATGACCCTTCAAGACCAGTGAGACTGGGAAACGTAATTGGGTGAATGCTACAGTCTCTACCAGATTGACTAATAGTAACTTGGATATAAACTGTTGCATCTTCTAGAAAAACAGGCCTTACCTGCCAAACAGAAAACAACAAATCGTTAATGTTTTCCTCATCTCCTTTACATGCACGAACAGAACTGATAATCATTAATTCATAAAGTAATTACTAAGCTCCTACTATGTTCCAGACAGTCCATTGGGTGATATAAAATAAGATGCGTTGTGTCTTCATATAGAAGATGCAATCGACAATCACAGTGAAAAAAAAAAAAAATGCTCTGATGAATTCAGGGTTCTACTCTCAGACCTTTAACTAGGCTCAAGGGGTCAGAGAAGAGTTGTAAGAAGAGCTGATTAGTTTTCGAATAAAGAGGAGTACAGGGAAGTTCAGGGAGAAAGAATAGCGTATATGGAGAGAGAGAAGATGTGAAACGACATGTGAATGCTGTGAGGACCTTGGTATGACTGAGGTGAAGCCAGTCAGAAGGGCGAATGGACAGAAAGGGCTAAAGGTAAAGATCAGATCATGAAGGACACACGACAACTCATTAGAGAGTTTTAGGCACAGAGTATTGTGGCTAAAATTTCAATGGATGACTATACTGCCATAAAAAATTATAGATTAATTATCATATGGATTTTAGTACTGTTGTCTCGTATGTACTGAAGGTGGTGCCCCTGTTAATCCCTTGAAGACGGGTACGTGACCACAGCCCTCTGTGCACTATAGACGTGTAAATACTTTCTTCTCAATGTGGCTGCCTTTTAAAACATTGTGTCACTGTGATTCAGACTTGCCCTCAGCTTCACAGTGTCTAAAAAGTAACCTCCCTATTTTAGGCTGCTTTGTGCCAAGTTGGCATGCCTCCCGTTTATTAAGTCTGTGAAAATGTTTACTAAGAACCTACTTTGTGCTGGGCACTTGCCGGAAGCTGAGTGGTGCTGGGGGAGAAACACATAATGCGGTGGGGATGGTTCAGGCTTTGAAGACCATTTACACGGGGGTAGTAGGACCCTGACAAACTCACGTCATCTCTCAGAAACTCAGTTTTTTCATCTGCAAAATGGGGGAAATAATATGTACTTCAGAGTATTGTTGTGAGGGTTCAGTAAGATGATATTTGTAAACACTCAGTGCCTGGAAAATGGGGCAGGGGCATGAGATATGGCCTCCTTGCCTGTGGCAGACATCACTGCCTGATCGCGGCACCCTTCCTGCTGAAACGCAGCTTGGGATAATACTTACATGAAAATGACTTCATCGTGACAGTTTCAGAGTCGTGTGGCATGAATGACCAAAAATAGCAAGGATATCAGAGGTGATAAACTGCTCTGTGTGCAGTAATCAGAAAAGAAAGACTTCACTCAGGGGAAGGCCATGAGTGAGCCCATGAGATGTTGGTAGGATCTCTTTGAATTCCACATTGATCACATTTCCAAAGCTTGGTTCCAGTGCAAACATAGAGGTTTTCCTTCCGCCTTCCTTGCACTTGTTTAGCTCTTCATTAGCTTGTCACATATATAAGGTGCCGTCATTCCCCATTATAAGCTAGCTTAGTAGAATGATCTAGTACTACAATAAGTATCCACTGAGGTATGATTCTAAGACCCCTCTTCAAACTGGTTATAGAAAATCACTTATTTTTGAGAGCAGATATAGCAAAAAAAATTTCTCACAAGTCACAATTCAGCCATTGGTACTGTCTTTCTGGAGTGCTGGGTGGACCAGGAGCCCGGGATTCTGGGCTCCTTGGAAGTTTGGTCGTGATCAACTAGGGATGTTTGACATGAGCAAGAAATAGAGTAGACAAGCACACGAGGCAGTTACTCATCTGTAAGGGACATGAGAGGACAATTAACAAGCACCTCATTTTTTTAAGTAAAAAAACTGAGATCCAGAGAACTTGCCTCTTGATAGACAAAATTTCTAGAGGAAGAATCAGATTAGAATCCCAAAGCCCTGATTCCAATGATCCAAGTCCTGTTTTCTTTTTTAATTTTTTAAAAATTTATTTTGGGGGGGAGAGAGAGAGGGAAACATCGATGTGAGAGCAAAACATCGATCAGCTGCCTCCTGCACGTGCCCTGCTGAGGATGAGGATTGAGCCCATAACCCAGGCATGTGTCCTGACTCAAAATCAAACTGGCGACCTTTTGGCACATGGGACCATGCTCCAACCAACTGAGCCACACAGACCAGGGCAAGTCATGTTTTCTTTTGCATATCTTATTATACGAGCATACCTTCCAGACATATTTCATGAGTAGGTTCTGCAGTGAATCCTGTATTTTTATTTATTTTTAATTTATTTCCCTGCTTTATTGAGGCATCATTTACTTATCTGAAAATTTGCCTATTTAAAGTATACAGTTTGATGAGTTTTGCAATTGTATGTGGTCTTATAATCACATCCACAATCAAGACATAGGACATTTCCATTACCTAAGAAAGCGTCCATGTTCCTCTTTGCTGTTTATTCCTTTCCTGGGGCCCCATCACCAAGGAAACCACTGATCTGTTCTCTGTCCCTACAAAATTTTATAAAATTCATATGAATGAAATCATGCATTATGTACTTTAAAAAAATTTATTTTCTTTATTTTAGAGAGAGAGAGAAAGGGAGAGGGAGAGAGAGATAGAAACATCGATGCAAGAGAACATCAATTGGCTGCCTCCTGCATGTCCTCAAATAGGGATTTGGCCCACAATCCAGAAATAGAACTGGTGATCTCTTGGTGCATGGGTCGATGCTCAACCACTGAGCCACACCGGCGGGGCCAATATGTAGTTTCCTTTTTTAATTTGTATTATTTTTTTATCCTCACCCAAGGACATTTTGCATTTATTTTCAGATAGAGCCAGAGGGAGAGAGGGAGGAAGAGAAGAGAGAAACATCGACATGAAAGAGACACATCGAGTGGCTGCTACAACCCCAACTGGGGCTGGGGACAAACTGCAACTGAAGTATGTGCCCTTAGCGGGAACTGAATCCAGTCCAAACACTGAGCCAAACTGGCCAGGGCAATATGTAGTTTCTTGTATTAAAAATTCTTTTGTACAGTTAAAGGCTCTTAAAATTTCAATCATTTTGTTACCCATCAGTACTTTATTCTTTTTATTGCCAATTAGTATTTCATATATACCACAATTTGTTTACGCATTGAGCAGTTGATGGAAATTTGTGTTGTTTTCAGTTTTTGGTTATTATCAGTATAGCAGCTATAATCCATTTATACACAAGTTATTGTGTGACATACATTTTCATTCATCTTGGGTGAATACTCAGGAATAGGATTGTTCCATCATAGATATATTTAACTTTATAAAAAGTGGCCAAATTTTCTTTTTAAATTTTATTTCTCATAATAGAATACTCTAATAAGTCTTAATATATGAAACTATACATCAACATTGTAAACTTTACAAACTAGATGGAAGGCAAAATTAAAAATGGCTAACCTTTTCCAAAGTGGCTGTCCCACGCTGCATTCCCACCAGCAATGCAAGACAGCCCTGACTGATTCCCATCCTGGTTAGAACTTGGTGTTTTCAGTCTCCGAAGGTTAAGCCATTCTATCAGGTGTGAAGTAGATTCTCACGGTGGTTTTCATTTGTATTTCTCTGATGACTCACGATGTTCAACATCTTTCACTTGTTTTTTGGAGATATATATATATCTTTATATAATCTTTTCTTAAAGAGTGCCCATTCATATATTTTGCCCATTTTTTATTTTGCTGGAAGAGTTTTTCATATACTCAATACAAGCCCTAAGATTTGCAAATCTTTTCTCCTACTCTGCAGTTTGCTTTCTTGTTACTTTAAGTGTGTTTTTTGATAGCAAACATTAAAAAAAAATTGTTGCAGTCTATTTTCTCTAATTTCCTTCTATTTTCATGCTTTTCTGTTGCTGCTGAAGCTCTCATTGCTTAATTCAATTTCACACAAAAATTTTATGTGCTTTAGAAGTTTACAACTTTAAGCACTTTTGTTATGTCTGTGACTCATTCTGAGTTAATTTTGTGTTTGTTGTGAGGTAAGGGCTGAGGTTGTTTTATGTACACAGACATCCATTTGCTTGAGCACTGTTAGTTGAGACAATTATAAATTTTTTCCATTAAATTACCCTGACATCTTGGTAATAAATCAAATGACCTTAGAAGTATAGATATATTTCTCTCTGTACTGCTCCAGTGATCTTTTATGTCTACCCTGTGCCAATTTCACACTAGATAGGCAACTGCACTTTTATAGTAAGTCTTCAAATCAGATGATATTAGTCCTTCCACCATTGTAAGTCCTTAAAATTGCATTAGGTATTCTAGGTCCATAATATAAAATTTAAAATCAGCTTATCAGTGTGTTGTAATAACTACATACAGTGCCAGTTGGGTAGTTGAAACAGTGGGTACTACTTTGTAAGGTATATGGTTGTGTGACCTCTATGCTGTACACCTGAAACTAAGGCAACATAATATTGAATATAAACTGTATTTGAAAAATAAAAATTAAAAATAATGCTTGCAAGAAAAAAAGTCTGGTAGGATTTTCAAAGGCATTGCATTGAATTTAGAAGTAATTTGGGGGGGGGGTGAGAATCTTGATGATATTAAAACTTCTAATTCTCGAATACTGAGTAGCTTTCGTTCACTTAGATATTCTTTAATTTCCCTCAAAGTCTTTTGTAATTTCTAGTGTATAGGTCTTAAATATCTTTTGTTGAGTTTATTCCCAAGTATTTTCATTTTTGATGCATTTGAAAATTGTTTTTTATTCCTCTTTACTGCATTTTTTGGATTGTTTGAAATTTTTAAGAAGTTCATTTTAATGTGCATATTGGCTTTTTAACTATACTTCTTTGCATTTTTGGCTATTCTAAAGGTTATATCTTTACCTTTTCACAGACCAAGTTACAATTAACATACCACTTCATGTAAAATATAGAGCCCTTCCAACCCATAGATATGTATCTCCTACTTGTTCTTTATACTACACCTCCATCCAGTATCAACAACACAAGAAAAAATTATAATTTTGGCTTTAAACACTGCAGTAAAGACTTAATCTTGCTCAAAGAGACACTTAGCTTTTGTCCTTGGCTCCTGTAAGATGATTTCTAAGCCCTTGGAATATCCTGCCTGATGTGAGTATCAATTTACCTGGGGGCTTTGAGCCACACCAAATAGTGACAATATAATTTATGGTGGGACTTTACTTTATATGGTTATCAACTCAACCTCTGGAAGGGCTGGAAACTAAAGTTAGACATGCAGGTGGTCTACCATACCTATGCCACGGAGCCATGCAACATCTTTGGACACCACAGCTCAGTGGGTTTCCCTAGCTGGCAGTACTCCATGTGTACTGTCACGCAGCATTTCTGGGAGGAGTTAGCACTTCTCATGACTCCGCTGCGAAAGAACCACTGGAAGCTCTGCCCATGAACTCTCCTGGACTCTGCCATGAGTCTTTTCCTTGACTGATTTTAATCTGTGTTCTTTCACTGAAATAAACCATAACCACGGGCATAATTGCCTACAGGGAACTATGAGAGTCCTTCTAACGAGTTAGGAAATCCCAGCATGATCTTGGGGACCCTAACATTCCAGTAGGTATCAGAGTGAGATCTTATGGACTGCCCTCTAAACCCTTAAATACATAGATTTTGCAAAGACATTACGAGGCAAAAAAGTAAAAAATGTAGCTTTTGTATATACCAAGGTATTTTCATTTCTGACACTCTCCTTTTTGAGGACTTGTATTACATTTAGAATCATTTCCCTCCAGCATGAGTAACTTTCTTTAGACTTGTTTTTGGTAGTGCAGACCTATTGGTAATGCGTTCTTTCAGTTTTCCTTTGTGTGATAATATCTCTATTTCACCTTCATTCCTGAAGAATGTTTTTGCATCAGGTATCAAAATCTAGGTTGACAGTGGTATTTTTTTTTCTTCTTTTAGCAATTTAAAGATTCTTTTTTTCTTCTTTTTTTACTCTTTTCTGGTTTCCATAGTTTCTAATAAAAAGCAACTTGTTAATCATGTGATTATTATCTTGTATGTATTCTTTCACTTTCTCTTTTCAAGTTTTGCTCTTTATATATAAGGTTTCAATTATTTAATGATGACGTTCCAAAGCCAAGCCTTCTTATGTTGGTTCTGCTTGGTGTTTCTTGAGCATATTAAATTGTAAATATATGTTTTTGCAAATTTGGGAAAATTTGGCCATTATTTTATCAATTTTTTTCTTGCCCAGTTCTCTTTCTTCCTTGCTGATGGGATTCCAATTATATGTATATTAGACCATTTAATATAACCTATCAGACCCTTGAAGTTCTGTTCATTTAAAAATATTTTTCTCTCTGAGATTCACCTTGAATAATTTCTGTTGATCTTCCATCAGATTCACTCACCCTTTTCTCTGTCACTGCTATTCTACTCTAGAGTCCATCTGATAATTTTTCACTTCAGATGTTATATTTTTAAGTTTTAGAATTTCCATTTGTTATTTTTTTCTTGATTTAATTATTTCTCTGCTGAAATTTCCTATCCTTTCATCTATTATGAAAATTTTTTTCAACTTCATCACAGAGAGTCAAATGGCTGCTTTAAAATCCTTCTATGCTAAGTTCAACATTTGGATTATTTTAAGCGTATATTCTCTTAAGAGTATCGCAATTATTTTTTTTAGTTTAAATGTATTGAAAAAAATATTTTACTAATTTACCACTAGCACTTTACATTTGAATAAATAAAAACAAAAAGTCTTTCTATTAAAAAAAAAAAGTTCCTTTTTTTTTCTGGTTCTTCATTTGTCAAGTAATGTTGATTATATCCAGTACATTATGACTGTTAAGTTGTGAAAACTGGCTTCTGATATCTTTCTCTGATAAAACTTGTTTACTTTGTTTTGGCAAGCAATTTTCTTGGATTGTACTAGCACTGAAAACTCAATTTCTTGTGTAGCAGGTCCAAACTCAGTTTATATCTATTTTCTTAGCAGAGCTATTTTGAGTCTGTTCTGCACATGAGTGTTTCAAGAGTCATCGAGAGAAAGAGCAGATAAAATGTATAGAACCCCTATCTGACCATTTTTCTTATAGGGCTTCCCCTCTCTCCTAGGTGACTGGTTTCCTCAGATTTAGTCATCCCAGGACAAAAGCCTGCAGTTTTTCCACTAGTGCCCTCACTGAATCCCCACTGACTATACCTGGTCCCAGGCTGAAAGGACAATAATGAAAATTCACCCTACACAACTCCTTCCATCCTCATGAAGCCCCCGTGAGGATCTCTTTGCAGCACTCACTCTCCAGTGACTTCATCTAGTGACTTCTCACATTATGTCCAGATTTTCTCTGTTTTCTGCAGAAAGATCTGTATCTTATTCAGCAATGACCCTATATTTTACTCATAACCTGCTTCTCACTAGCAAATTGGGGTTTTGCCTATGTGTGTGGCACCCCATGGTTGTCTGCAGGGATCTGAGCTTTACAGGTATTGATTATTCTTAACTAAGTGACATTGAGGATTGCCATTTAAATTCTTATTAAATTCAGTACAAATTGATGCCAAATACATTCCTACATATAAGATAATGGTATACTAGCCATGACTTACATTTAGAATGTAAAATTAATTTATACTTTTTGAAATGAAATAAATTGAGCCTAGGGAATAATTCCACTTGGTGCCGATAGCTATTTCCTTTTTAAGAAAATAATATTTATATATCAACAGTACCTGAAAACGTCTTCACTTTCATAAGATTCCAAAAGTGTTATATTATCAGTAGGCACATAGGCATATTAGGCCTATCTTACCCTTTTTTTCTTCTTCGTTTTTCTTATTTTAATACATTAAATCATGGGATGATAGATTACAAAGTAATAGATACCTGGAATACTTACTTTCCATGAGATTCTCCAGTACTGGCTATGGAAAGGGCTTGGAAGTCGCTTCATACTGTTTCCCTCCTCTCCACGTGGCCTTCCATGTCTGTGTCTCCCCTTCATGACGCAGGCTTATCCACTTGTCCAGGCAGTGTCTTCTATCACTTCCTTCCAGCCAAAGGGCACGGCATGGCAACGTGGCTTCCATCTACTCCCTTTACAATTGACTTAATAAATATGATTTGTTACTTTATAATATTAAAATTAAAACCCCAAGACACTAATATTTTCAAGGTCTTTCCACTCTCAAGGTATTATTTTGATATTTAAAACACTTGATTCTTTTTTTTATACTCTTATTGCTATATAAATCTCTCTTCACCCTTTTTACTGAGAAATAGTTGACACAATCACTGCATATGTTTAGCATGCTGGTTTGATTTACAGGTATTGTGGCCCCATTATTTTAACAAGAGCAGGGATAGGAACTGCATGATGATTAACTGTTGCAGTTATCAGCTAAGCCATTTGGGAGAAGAATTCTAACGCTATAGAAAATCTGGTAATGCAGACATTCCAAAACCTAGCTGTATGTTTCATCGCTGATAAATAAATCCCATCTGACCTGGGCCAAGCTACTCAAGAGGAATTCTTTTCCTCAGTTTTCTCACCTGTGATAGATAGATAGGCTTATAAGGTTGTGGTAAAAATAGATGAAATAGCCCTGGCCGGTTGCACAGTGGTTAGAGCATCAGCCTGCGGTCCAGAGAGACCCGGGTTTGGTTCCCGCTAAGGGCATGTAACTCAGTTGCAGTTTGGCCCCGGCCCCGGCTAGTCATGCAGGTGGCAGCCACTTGATGTGTCCCTTTCATGTCGATGTTTTTTTTCTCTCTCTCTCTCTTCCTCACTCTCCTTCCCACTCTATCTGAATAAAAAATGGAAAAATGTCCTCGGGTGAGGATAAAAAAAATAGATGAAATAAAGAATATGAAGCAGTTGGCACAGTGCTGAGCACCTAATATCAGTTCATCAAATATATCTGCTAAAAAAAAGTGTTGGTTTTGTAATGTGTTGACAATTGGGAGGCTGCAATACATTTCCCAGAATTCCCTTTCCTGTGCACTTTCATTTGAGTGGGTACAAAGGAGAGTTAGTGGAATATCTGGAGAACAAGGTAAAGCAACAATCATTTTGTAACTTACACACATTGATACCTATTTGCGAGCTCACATCATTGGTGTGAAGCAACCAATGGGCTTACAACTGCCCACCTTCTCTTGGAGACTTCTTCAGCTTCTCTGACTCCTGAACCATGTGTGTGTGTTTAGTTCCTTGATGAGGGGTCTCCAGTTCCACAAGGCAGCCATTCAATCAAGGTCAGAAGTCATGAGAACTGATGTAAGTCTTAGTCCATTTTTGTGGGCTCCAAGACATATTAGTGGGTTCCAGTCTGTCCTTTCTCTCTCTGACTCTACACCCATCTTCCCTTCCTGATGGTCGGCCCTGGGTCTCCGAGTTCCAGTGTCAGACAGGTCGGCAACAGAGTTACAGGGATGGCTGAGCCAGATCCCACATTGCATAGAGTCAAATCTCGACAACAAATCTCAATCTCTCTCTCTCCTTCTCCTACACATACACACACACACACACACACACACACACACACAATTTCTGATCGAATGTTGCCTGACAAACAATAGTTGACAGTCATTCAATTTGTAATATTCTAATTAAGTTAAAAAAACCTCATGAAGGGCTTGTGACCATGACTATTAATATAGTATGATGGTGCTCTTGAAAATACTATATAGTATTATGTTGCTATAAGCATTTGAAGAGTACCTGCCCTTCTAATAATAATAAAAATGAAATTAATGAATTTACTACACTATGTGTCAGGTACTATTTCAAATATTTCATAAGGAGCCTACAAAGTAGGTTTTATGACCTCCATTTTACAGATGAGGAAACCAAGGTCACAGATAAGTAATGTCCTGAAGTCATGCATTTAACACTGAGCCAGAATTGTGCCAACAGTACTGCTCCCGGAGCCTGTGCTTTTAAATACGACTCCGCGTGACTTTCTAAAGCCCAGGTACTGGGAGGCTGTGCAGCCAGTGACACTCACTAACGAGATCACTGCAAAGGAACTGGGTAATTGCTTAATTAAGATAGATGAGGACATGGCTGGGGGACAGTTCCCTGAGATTAAGACCGGAAAATGTTGATGACTTTCCAGCCTTCTCACTTAAAAGATTATGTTCTTTGTTCACCAGTTTTTGGGTGTGTTCCCCCCTCCTTTGATTATTCCTTTTCTGTTTCCACTGTTGCCTTCTACTCCTAGCTTTCTTCCTTTTTTTTTTTTTTTTTTCTTGCCAGCGCTCTAGACTGGACATATTTTAGGAGCAGCTTGTTACATGATATTTCTCTAAAAATAATGCAAGTCCAAGTATTGGCACTGGAATTAGCCCTGGAGGAACACCAATTGTGCGGTGCCTGGAAGGGGCATGGTGGCTCCGTCCCGGCCCTTCAAGCAGGACGAATCTCTGAGAGTTGGTATCTGATGGTGAGGTGTCCAGGCTAATGGAGAAGAGCGCACTCTAACTCCCCTGTGGGCTCTGCTGACTTCAAAGTGTGAGGCCTTGCTAGACACACATGTTGGGAAAATGGGTCTTATGGATTTGTAGATATGATCTGTCTCCTTTGCCAATTCTCGCTTCTCGTTTGACCTTTAACAGTCAGAGTCCCTCAGGGCTCTGTTCTCTCCTCTCATTAGAGTCTCATCCATAGCCATTCTATTCCAGTGCCAGTCTGGCAGCCAGGAGTGAAGAGTACGAGCTCTGGAGCAGACGGCCTGGGCTTGAATTCCGGTTCTGCATATCTCAGCTGAGGAATTTAATAATTCTGGGTCCCCGTGTTCTCATAGCCTGGGCTTGAATTCCAGCCCTGCAGATCCCAACTGGGTGAATTTAATAATTCTGGGTCTTGCCCTGGCTGGTTTGGCTCAGCGGTTAGAGCGTCGGCCTGCGTACTGGAGAGTCCCGGGTTTGGTTCCCGCTAAGGGCACGTGCCTCGGTTGCAGTTTGTCCCTGGCCCTGGTTGGGATTGTGTGTCTCTCTCACATCGATGTTTCTCTCTCTCTTCCTCCCTCTCTCCCTCCCACTCTATCTAAAGATAAATGCAAAAAAAAAGTCCTCAGGTGAGGGTAAATAATAATAATAATAATAGTAATAATAATAATAATTCTGGGTCCCTGTATTCTCATAGGTAAAATAAGATTAACAGCTGTACTTGTATCAGAGGGTTGTTAGGAAGATTAAACAATTTAGTTCTTAAGAAGGGCTTAGTTAGTGACAGGTAACCAGTAAGCATTTGCAGATATATCTAGTTTAGACTTTCCTGCTGTATTCCAGGCCCAAATAACTAACTGTAAATTTCTTATCTCTATTTGGATAAGATACAAATAAAATTTCCAGAACTGAACTATCTCCCCCCTAAAGCCTCTGGGGTCCCAGGGTCAGGATTCGCCCTGCCTGCCTCCACCCAGTCTGGAAACATGGGAGACACTTTCGCTCACTCCTAAATACCTTTCACATCCCTCTATTTCTAGCAGCTTGGACATCACTGGTGGGTAAAGTCTTCATTAACCTCTTTCTGGATCATAACAATAAACACAAATGGTCTCCCTATTTCTGTGCAAAGACCTCTCCAATTAACTCCCCATTTTCGAAAAGGGAATCTTTCAAAATAAAAAAATTAACAATGACTAGCACTCAAGAAAACCTCTCCCATGAATTTTCATTGTTGCTGGTTTTTAAAACTTCAGATCCTTATGCCTTTAAGACTAATGTGTTCTGTTCTGCTTACCTCTCCAGTTTCGGGCCTCGCTCCCACCTTGCCTCCTTCCTGTGGATCTTCTTGTAGCTCATTGAACTTGTCATTTCCCATCTCAGAACCTTCAGAGATGTAGTTCTCTCTGCTTAAAATGTTACTGCTTTCTCTTCTTGCCATCAGCCCTGTTCCCTCACCCCTCCACCTATCTGACGCCACCGGTGGGCAGTCACCACCATCTGCTTCCTGAACCATAACAATAAACACAAATGGTCTCCCCATGTCAACCCAGATGTCACTGCTTTCATCCCAAACCACGTGGTACCCTAGATGGACACACACCTTTGCTTATCCTTTGAGTCACCTACTGTATTCATAATTTAGTATTTTTTACTTCACTTCTGTCTTCCCACTACACTTCCCACTAGGCAAAGATGTTATCTTGTTCAGTGATGTATTCTGGCACATAGAATGAGTCCAATAAATAGCTGTTCAACGAACGAGTGAGCAAATATGCATATGGCTTTACTCATGTTGCCCACACCTTTGATTATGTCAATGGGCATAGATAAGGAATAACTTAAGCAACTGCCTCAGTCTGACCTCAAACCCATTTTAAAAAAAGTATCTTGAGTTCATAGATCCCTAACTTCTAGAAATATAATGTCCATTTAAAACAAACATTTTTTTCTTTATTGATTTTAGAGAGAGAAGAAAGGAGAGGGGGAGAGAGATAGAAACATCAATGAGAGAGCATCGATTGGCCACCTCCTGCATGACCCTGACTGTAGATTTGGCCCACAACCTGGGCATGTGCCCTGACCAGGATTCGAACCGGTGACCTCTTGGTGCATGGACTGATGCTCAATCACTGAGCCACACCAGCCAGGCAATATATATTTTTAATATTTTATTTCAAATTATCTTGGTATAATTTGGAACCATGTTTGATACCCTTAAATACATTTATTTTCTGTAAATGCAAATTATCTATCCTTTTTGCATCACTTACAAAGAAAAGTTCTGTTCCTACACAGTTTCTTTCCCAAGGTGTGCCTTTATTCCTGTCTGTGGCAGAACTCGAAGAACAATCAAATCTCATTGTGACCTTTTATTTTAACTTTGTCTCTCAGTGCCCACGATGAACCACAGATCATTGAACTGATAATTCTTTTCATCATTCCTCAGTGGCTAAATTACCGGGAAAGTGCAATAATACCCCAGGAACAAAAGAAAAGAAATGAAAGCCTGCTCCAAGGACACATCTACATCTTAATAATTTCTAGATTTTTTAAAAAATAAAACAAAGTAAAATGAATGAATCAGAAACTTTCTCAGACCTTTATTTCAGGAGAGCAAGATGAAATAAAAG